TCAATGACTGGTATGGACCCCCAAGTAACTCAGATGGCTCCACAAAGGCCGTCACAATCAACCCAGACACGACCTGTGGCAATGACTGGGTTTGTGAACATCGCTGGCGTCAAATCAGGTAGGGCACTGGGGAGAAACAAGAAGTAAAAGCAGTTGCTTTTTGCTGCTCCATGTGGCTTTTGAGGTGTTGCAGGTGCAGTGGCAGACACTGCTTGTGTTTTCAGGAACATGGTTATCTTCCGTAACGTGGTGGATGGCGAGCCTTTCTCCAACTGGTGGGACAATGGCAGCAATCAAGTGGCTTTTGGCCGTGGTAACAAAGGCTTCATCATCTTCAATAATGATGACTGGTAAGTCAGTGTCAGAAACAGTTCCTCAGAGAGAAAAATAGAATCCCTCATCAGCAACCCAGCATGAGCTTTTTAAGTGCATGCTGGATCCATAGAGCTAAAATAGGAGTGTAGGATGGGTAGGATCAGAAAGCTCATGCTTTACAATGCCCTTCAAATAGGAGAATAAGATCATGTTCAGAAATCTTACACACCATTTGAAATACCTATTTTAAAAACAATGGATAAATCGTGTTTCTTTTCTCAGGAATATGAATGTCAATGTACAAACTGGACTGCCCTCTGGTACCTACTGTGATGTTATTTCTGGACAAAAGGAGAACAACAAATGTACTGGAAAGCAGGTGTTTGTTTCTGGTGATGGAAAGGCTAATTTCCAGATTAATACCAATGCTGAAGATCCATTTATTGCAATTCATGTTGATGCCAAGTTATAATGCAGGAGAAATATCCTCCTCTGTTTGGTCTGTGCATTACTGTTTCCCCCATATGTTATTCCCTGCTTTTTGAGCATGACTCTCTATTGAACAATAAATGGCATTCAAACTGAAGAGTAGTGTTTCTCCCCTAATAAATTAGAATTAGGTGTAACTTTATCCCCTCCTAACTAGTGTTGATGCAGTGGTAGGTTTTAAGGCAATGCAGCACTCCAGTTCCCAGGTAACAAAAACACTGTAGAGAAAATAAAAAAAAAAAAAGAATCCAAGCCAGCTAAAATGGCTAAGCTACAGTGCAGGATTTCCAGGGCTGATCCATGCACACCCACTTGTACCCCAGAGCAGCCACCTTATGGGCTGTCAGCTGTGAACAGTGGCTACGTACAGAGTTTGTCCCTTCCTTATGAGAAATCAAGCCTGGGGTCTGGGGTCTGAAGGAAGCTGGGCTGTGCCAATCAGTTATTCCAGCCCGTGGCATCAGTGAAACCAGCAGGTTACCTGGTTCACAGTCAGCTTGTGCCTGGACAAAGCAAAACCTCAGCTCTCACATTGTTTGCCCCAGCAAGCGAATGCTGCCTGTGTGGGTGCTGGAGGTGCCTGAGAACACACGACGTATCCAGGCATTGCTTCTACCTTGTGCTGGTGGCTGAGGCATGGCAAATTCCTGCCTCTGGTGTGTTAGGCACCCTTATTCTCTAATATCTCAAAGAAATATGCAAACACAGTGCAGGTTTGCAGCTTTCCCAAATCCCTTGTCAGCTGTGAGAAAATGCTGAGGTAAAAGCAAGTGTGCAGGCCTTGCTTTAATCAGAATCTCTGCTAGGCCAAAAGTGCTGACTGCATCCCATTCTGGAGGGGAAAATGGAAGGAGGTTGCTCCAGTTTGAGGTCAAAGTGCCATTTTACGTGTCATTACTGTGGTGTTGGTGGTCACTATTGGCTCCAAGTGTCTGTCAGGGCAGTCAGGGTGTGGGAAGTGTCCCTGGCCCAGCACTGGACCTCCCATCTGTCTCCCTCACTGGCTGTTGCCAGCATCTCCTGGATCCTTCCACTCAGCCCTGCATCAGTGGAGAGGTGCCGAAGACCTGGGGACTCACGTGGCAGGGTGTTGGTAGCCTTTGCAAACCGGTTATTGGCCCACAGGGGCAGGCCAGGGAGTCCTTGGGTCCCTCTGAAATTGATAGGAGCTGTCTTAAGCCCTGCATTCAGCTCTGCCTCTCAGAAACTAGGATTGCATCCTCTGGTTCTCAGACGTTGCCCAATCCCAAATGGAATAATCAGTTCACACATTAAATTGCACATCCAAGCCCCACACCTTTTGTGGCAAATGATGGAAATGGTACACACTGATCTGAAGTGTCCATAAATCAACGGGCTGAATATGGAGAAGGTTCTCTGTGCCTGTGAACACACGTGGATCTACTTTCCAAGGATGTTGCAGTGCAATGAGTGTTTTGCTTGATGTAGGTTCATGTAGGTCTGCATTTCAGAGTGGCATGAAATAGAACATGGAGAAAACGAAATCATGAGACACTTTCTTTAGGTGTAAGTAAAACTTTGTGGGCCAATGTTCACTGCTTTGAGAGCACCTAAATTGCATTCAGACCTTGGGTTTTGTTCCTTTTATTTCAGGATTTTGGTACACTGCGTTATAATTTAAGCACAAAGATGATGAAGAAAGCAATCGTGTCATCTAGAGCAACAGCAGATCTTTCAGATAACTCAGTGAAGCCAGAGTTACAGTCAACCTTACTGCTGATGTCTAAGTTTTCAAAAGACTGCTAGTATGAGGAAATGTTTATCTTTATTTTTATAATTTCTACTGCTACTCTTGTATGTGAAGTGATGACACTAAGGCCTTAAATTTTTATACTAGTGTTCAATGAAAATATGAAATTATGTTATGAAATTATGTTATGAAATTATCAAGTTTAAGGTAAGATATTTTCTGGGGCACATCGGGATTGCACAACAGATCTGCTGAATTGTAAAAGTTTAGATTTTTTTGCACAATGCAGTATTTATGTTAATTTTTTTTTTTCCATTTATTTTTCTTTTTCTCTTCCTTGTTTTTGTTTTTCATTTTGGATTTTTTCTCCACGATAGGGCTGTCTCCGTATGGTAGCATAATAGTGATCAGAATTTAATGCAAGAGCAGTACAATAAAGTGAAGTGAATAGTTGTTTGTATGTACAACTGCTCACTGCTCATATTTAAGTTATATATATATATAGAGAGAGAGGGAGTGAGAGAGAGAGAGACACATTCAGACAGTAAACACTTTCACATTCACCCAAACAGAAATGTTGTATGATTTGATAATTTATCCTTCTAGTGTTTTTAATCCACAGAGTTAAAATTGTATATTTGTCAGATAAGTCGACATAAAGGGTGAGATTAGAAAAACTATAAACTGCTAGTGTACTATGAGTGGACCAGAAAGTTTCATGGCAATTTATTTTCTCAGCTAAGTGCAACAGCAAATATAAAAACTGCTGTTCAGCTCTGCATGCCTTTGTGTCATCTTATTATTTTCCTGAATCACTGTTACTTTTCTAAGAGAAGGAGTTCTGTGAAGGGAAACTAACAATCTATTGTCTCTTTTATGGAGCCTGTAAGCATTTTATTCAAGTTATTTTAAGAGGAAACAAATGAAAAACTCAACACACAATACTAACTTCTAAATTGCTGATCATATGTTTATCTGCAATCTGTGTTTTTAATAGTTTTAGTATATTAGTCTCATTGCACAATTCTGAACAGTATACAGATATTTCCTTTGCAAGTGTTTTCATGCTGTGGCAATTTTAATTTTGCCTTAGTATTAAATCAGAATGTTTCTGAGAATGAATGCTAGTGACACTGTTTGAGATGATAACGGTGAATCATCTCCAGTCAGTAGAGTCAAAGTGAGAGTGAGTGCTTGGATTTTCACCCAATTGGCACACTAAAGCACTTAGGGTGGGGATAAATAACCAGATTATTTAGTGTAGGGTTAAGAAAGATGCTGTAGGAGAGCAGTAAAGTGTGAGCTGTGCTGTGGCACTTTTGAATTGAAAATGGAAATATCAAATGTTTGTCAGAGAATGAAAAATATTTGGTATTTCTTAGTCCTAAACTAATAATTAGGTTGCATTATTCAGCCAACTAGACTGAGAAGTAGCCAGCTTAATTAACTGCACACCTCTACAGACATCTAAATCTCTCTTCACTTTTCATTTACTCTCCTTCTCTTCAGCATTTGTAATCACCCTTTTGATTATATTTAAATATATGTAATTTGTGTGGTCTGGTAGAAAATGGCAGGACAATATTTTACTGTAAAGATGCAGCAAGATCATATTGGGATCAACAACATATCAGAACCTTCCTGCTGAGATCAACCCTGGGATATCTGGCATGGAGTGAATGTGGATTTCCATGGAGTGGTATTACATCTCAGAGAAGTTCCTCTGAACCTTGTGAAGACAGATAATGGGGTAAGTAAGGCAATAAAGTCAAAAACATTTCTGCCTTTGCTCAAATACCCCTTGAATCTACCTTTGTCTAGACAGTGAAGTTAGCAAAGGACAGCTGATATGTGCAGTGGTGACAGGAACAAGACAGAGCAGTCAGAGCAGTGTTGGATAGAGAGCAGGCAGAACAATCAGACAGGTGGCAAGCTAAAAGGATACTGATATTGACAAAAATGATAGCTAGAACAAGACAGATCAGACAAGACAGAAGAGGCAAAGTCCTAGATGACTTGTCTAGTATTGTAGCAAACTGCATTCATGGGTAGAACTTGCAGGGAACTTGAACTTGAAAAGAGCAAAACAGGAATAAAACTAGCAGTTCAACAAGCACTGAGTGTGTGTCTTGTGGATAGGACATGCATGCTTTAACTGGGAAAAAAATTATATCTTAGAACAGCTATGAATGATAGAACTTTATGGTGCTGTAACCTGTAGCAAACTATTTACTTTATCATAAAAGTAAAGCCCTTGTCTGACAAATAGATTGCCATATTTTAGTATCTGGCTTCTAAGCTATATAAGAAGAATGGGATGTCAAAATGTCTTGATAAGAAAGCTCAGATGATACAAAGAAAGAAGGAAATGTATCATTAAAATATGAGCAATGGATTTGGATCTAGTTTTCTATGGTTCTTTAGAATCCATTTCAGTATCTCTCCTAAAAATGCTTAAAGTTAGCCGTTTTTACAAGTAATAACTACCCTATTCATTGCCAGCCTTGATATCATAAATTAAGTTGTGGTCTCTACATAAATACCCCATTGCTTGCCAAGGGAAGTGAATGTGGCAGCTCTGCAAAAAAAGCCAAATCTTAAAAACTGCCAAAACAGAAGCCAAAATAGCTGCAATAAAAACCCATTTTTCTGATTTTTTTACATTGTGGGAATATGCTTTCTACAACTCTTCAGGAGGGAAAACATGTTATCTCTGCTGATATTCCTTGTGGCACTGTGTGGGTATCAAAACCTCATTGTACAACCAGCCAAGGTATTTTTTAACCTCATATGAGACTGGACAAGGTTTGTCTTAATAAGTCTACATCATATTTAGAAAGCTGAGAAATGGGAGAAGGGATGTAACATCACTGTGGAGGGCTGTGTGTTTTATCTAAAAGAAGAAAACATCCCATAATTCAGCTGTGATTCACTATCTTCTTATTTGTTATGCATGAAATACAATTGCCCTTTTACATGTCTGCTAACTTTGGAAAAATACTCATCTTCTAGAGACACAGCTGGCTTTCTGTTTACTTGATCTTCACACTCGAATGGCCATGTTCTGTTTATCCCACACTTAGAGATCAGAAGGTTGGATAAGACCATTGGGGTCATCTCAGTTGCACTATAATTACAAGATGATCCTCTCAACACACCTCTCAACTGTTTTATCTGGTCTACTTTGAACATGACTTTGTTGATCCATCTGTGACTTCTTTTGAAGTGCTACTCTACTGCCTAATGGACTTTATGGATAGATTTCTTTTTATCAGAAAGATAAAATTTACATTTTCATATTATGGTTCACTGCTCTTTAATCACCTTAAAAACACCTTTTCTTTCCCCTGACAATATTTCCTCCCAATAGCAAGAAACTAAGTGTATGCTGTATGTCAGTGTAGTGTTGAATAACAAGAATTAAATCAACTGCCACAAAATGAAATGCACTTTCATTTTCCCCTTCCTCTATTTTACCTAGGTAAACACAAAAAACCTAATAACAAGATTTTACTAGTCCTACACAATTCAGGAGAATTTTGGCCTCAAATGATCTCATATGTACAAACTTATAAAATTTTTTAGTTAACCCATAATAATTGCAGGTGTAAATAACTTTATTTTTACCCTGAAAATATTAGGAAACAAGTGGTCTGACTAGTGTAAAATCAAGAAGCATATAATTGTGTGCATGTAGATGTATGTATATATAGTGTGTGTCCATACACACACATATGCACACATCTTACACATCTACATCTATGTGTTGGGGTTTTTTTATTCCTTATTCTTCCAGAATATCCCTTAGGCCCTTAGCTGAAAATTAAATGAATTATTTATGGATCACTTTATGCTCAATATCTGCAAATTACTTTTTAGAAATCCGAATTAGCAAATAGGTTTCTATTTCTGGTAAAATTAATGGTGCAATCTCACATTTCTTGTGCATCCAGAATTTTCATTGAGATCAAATAGATATCACTATAGGAAAAAAATTAGCACTGAGACTGGCAAGATACAGTTAACTTGTTTTGTTTATGCGTATTTCCCTTAAAGTGTTTGAAATATTGAGTCTTGTTTTTTATTGAGTTCTAACTGAGATTAGAACATTTTTAACGATGCTTGTATTATTTCACAGTGAGATGGAATTTTAATTCACCCTTATCCTAACAAATGAGGGAATAGTGGAGAACTTTTTACTGAAGCCCAGCACCCTTTACACAGTAAAGCATCTTCAGTCTGAACTCTTCCTACTCCTTCTATTTCTCAGAAATGGCAGCTCTTTTTCAAACTTGTCTTTATGTTTTGTTTTTTTTTAAAGAAATCTGATGTCTGTCCCTCTCCCTTCACTATTTTGCAGGAATAGATTCTGTTTCTACATGGCCACTTGAAATATTTACTATGGTGGGAGGTGACTTCAGATTTGGAAGAAGGAAAAGACAGCAGGTGATTTTCCTTTCTTTTCATGTGGGAGACTCTCATAAAAAAAGCAAGAGTTGTCAGGTCTATTTGGTGTCTCATTTCAAGGCAGTCACATACAGAATGAAATAATTACTTGCTCAGCTGTTCAAAATACATTTGTGCTGCTACTAATTAAAATTACTTTGGACTTTTAGGAGCGTAGTGCTGTAGAGCACCTTGGCAACAACTCTTCAGGCCACAGATCCATGCATTTTTCTATCATCCTTGAAAAATAAAAGGCATTCTGCTCTCAAAAATCCAAACTATCAAGAAAACACAATTCCTTATGTCATGTCATTATAAAAATATTTTCTTCATAGCTATGTAATACTCTAAGATATTCTCTACACTCTCTACATCACCTGCCTATTTTTAGCTTAGAGTCATACTACACAAATCCACAAGTGCTTCTATCTGCAAAATTGAGGACTTTACAAAGTCCTCAAGTGTTAGCCTGAATGTACAAATTTTCTAAAACAAATAGAAACATATTTTAAAGAAACTGTCCATGCTGCCATTGAAGTCATAGGCACAATTTTGCTATATTAAACTCTCCTGCAGTTTATTTTAGAAACAATATGCTGTAAGCCAGAGATAGAGTGCATAATACCAAAATTCTGTTGCTGTGTAATTTAGAAAGTATTTAAATTGTGCAAAGTAAATATGTTATTTCTCTAAGTACTGGTGTGTTTATATTGCATATACACAGAGATACACAAAAAAGGCAGTGTTGGATCTATATTTATAATATAGATGACATCATTGTGTTTAAGACACACTGCATTTGTATGGAATATAGCAGAGTTATAAGCTTTGCTGAGTATCTCACTGAATTGAAATAAATAGTTTAGGCTCTTCAGATTCCATTTTTATGCTCAACAAACTGTCACCAAGGAAGTAGCTTTGCACAGTTTATGACATTTTCAAGAGATTTGCAGTTATGCCCTGAATGCATTCAATTATACTTAGTATCAACCTTCAGAATCACTTTTTGCCATTACCCAGACAACTTTAGCACAGAGGAAAGTGCATTGTTCAGAGATAGTATGCTAATGTCATCTATTTGAACATCTGACATATTGAAACAGGCCACTCTCTATGGAGGAAAAAATGCATCAAGTTTATATGACATATCAGAGGCCCTTTTTCCCCAATTTGCCCAACCCAGGAGTTAGGCTGTAGTGACAGGAGGCTGACAGAGACAGGCTGAGCCTGGGAAATCTCAGCTGCTGTGAAGTTGTGTAGCGAAGAGAAGCATTAATTGATTTTTTTTTAATTTCAAATCATCTCTACTCCTTGAATGCCATCCTATGATTGTTAAATTAAAAAGTATTTCAAAAAGATCATGTGTAATTCAAAGATAAGGCCCAATTGCCACATGTTTCTGGAAACACGAAGTGATGTGTGAGTAATGAGTCTCTAACAAAACAAAAAAAAATTAAAAAGACTGTCCACAGAAGTACACTCTTACATAGACATACTGATGTGCCTAATTAAAGAAGCTGAATCATGATCATCAGGGTAATGTAAATACTAATAAATTTAATAGCTTAGCTTCATTAAATTGGACTGTTCTGGAAAATAGCCAGTAATTGGTATTGATAGGAAGTGATGTAATCATGTAATTTTTGCTGACAATACTATACCCAACACACAGAAACAACTTCACTCTAATGCTAGACAAAAGATTTCTACTGAACTGCAAATAAGCACAAAGCATAAATGGTGCCTTTTGCTAAGTGCTAAGCATCAGCAATGCAGCTTCAATGAGAAAAGTTCGAGTTTTGGCAACTGTAGCAAAGCACTGTAAGTGCTGGCAGGGTTTGGAGGTCCAGGTCAGCTGGCAGGGGCTGCAGGGACAGAACGTGGGGGTTTCTTGCTGGAGAAGCTCTCCTCAGGCAGCCGGAGCCAGGGGAGCCAGCCTGAATATCCCTGCTTCCGGGACATTTCCCTCCTTGGGAAAGTTAACACTTCGTTGAAGTCTTTACAAGTCTTTGAGTGATAAAGTTCTGGAATAGTCTACCCTGGAGTCACCAGCCCTGGGTGTGTTTAAAAAAAGACTGAATGTGGCACTCAGTGCCAAGGTTTAGTTTGGGTGTTGGGGCATGGGTTGGACTCAATGATCTTGAAGGTCTCTTGCAACCTGGTAATTCTGTGATTCTGTGAATTCTGTGAACACTGCAAAGCTTCCACTTTCTTGTTAAATCTAAGACAATAAAAGTCTGCAAGGCCAGTGATGGCTGTGCAAGCAATACAAAAACCCATTAAGTCAAATGATCTGATAATATCTCTTCTCTAACACTTTTCTCTTATTGAGCACTGAAGTAAAGGTTCTAACATCAGCCTGTTACTTTCCCTCATAAAATGGAATATGCTCTTCTGTAGTTTGAGAAATTATATTAAAATCAGATCACTAAAAACTCAGTTTCTCATATTAAAAACTACTTTGTAATTTTGTTGTATGTATTACACTTTAGATTTATACAGTGATAGAACCTTTCTGCATTATGGTGTACCTGAAAATAAAAAGATAAAAGTTCAATGGTTTCATTGCAGACTTTAATAGCACCTTAAGAAATGTGTGTATATTTTAATTTCTGTGTCATTGGCTTTTATAGGTGTCTGAAAATTCTATTACAATTATATATAATGACTCTTTTAAGCAGTGCACCTAATTTGATGCCTTTTAGTAACTGATATAGCCTAAACATTTAAACTGACATTCTGATTTCTACAGCTCCAGCTGCTAATTTTGACTCAATGAATATATGCTTGCTGCAGGTCACCATCACTCCTACAAATGGATACCATTAAAATGCTGTTTCTGTGAAACGAGAACAAGGTATACAAGACACGTGATCTTTTGATTTAGCTCTCAGAACAAGATCTTTGCTGATGACAGAGCAGATGGTCAGCTTTGCAGAACAGGAGAATTAAAATAACTAGATATATTTTGGCAGATGTTCACTACATTCATGCATAGATAACTTTAATTCTCATCTTTTGTGTCAGTCAGATTCTAGGTGTAAAGGATGTTCAGTACATCATGTATAGTGTGTTCTGAAACCCGAACCATCACAACACTACATTTTCTGGTACTACTACAGTGAAAGAATGATTTATTTTGCTTTTATCCATCAGAAGACATAAAGATTGTTAAAATCCTTATTTATTTTCTTATGTTTTCTTTCTGCTTTCTTACAGAGGGAAAGTTTATTACCAGGCAGATATAGTTTTTAGAATATGCTATTAATCTTTGGAGTAATACCAGGAACAATGTAGCACATATCTTCCAGCAAGGAAACACCTGGATGTCAGTAAGTATTATAACTCACTCCTGAAACTCATACATAAATACAGATCCTCTTTTTTGTGTTTAGGATATTTTCATTAGCAGGCTACTCACTTTGGGACTTTCCAGGCTGAAAATATTACTTCCACAACCTATCTACCTTGATTAGTGATCAGGAAAGTTAAAACAGAATACTTAATCAACATGTAAAGCTTTGATAAGCTTGAATAGAAAAAGTTTGTCAGGAATCATTGGTTTATCAAAAAAAGTTCTTTGCCAATAAATTCCCTCCCTAATAATGTGGTGTCCCTGGGCTTTACCTCCAAACCAGAAAATTCTTCTTCATAAGCTGAGTGTCCTGAAAGAAAAAAATGGAGTTCATGAGTTTCATGTACACTATACAGTGTTTCACATTGGTGAGATTTTCAAAGTTAGTAACTGTTTAGTAACTGGCAGACTTCTACAGAAACTTAAATCCAGAATATAGAAAAATACTGATTTCATAGCAGGTAGGACAATTCCAAGATGAATGTGAAAGAGCAAAGACAGGGAAACCATTGCTCATTTACAGGGCCTTGCTTCACACATGGAAAGCCCTGGCTCAGGGTGTGTGTTGGGTAATACTTTCTCAGGGTCACCAAAAGATTGATAACAAGAATATAAGAAATTCTGATATAAGATTTGCTATTTGAACAGAAAATAAGCAGCTTGACATTTTTCTTAAGAGAGAGAAAAATGTCTTGCCTATCTGTAAATCCGCAGCAGAGGTCACAGCCTCTTTCCTTCAGTGGGAGCATGTAACACCAGCACACGTCAAGAGCCCAGACACTTGCTGAAGGATATGTGCCTGGAAAAAACTAATTTCAAAAGTGGGCAATAAGTAATAAGGCAACCTTTATAATCAGGTGCTTCACAATGACCCTACTCCTTTCATTTCAGTGGAAGAAGATAAAATTGCGTTGTTAAAGGACTGATGAATATTCAGATATATTATGACATTCAGAAATAGGCTTTTTTTTCTTTCTGTGAATCTTTTATAACTGGGACAATACTTATTCTATTGCATGTGCTGCAGCATTTCAGGAATTCTTGCCAAAAATAAAGATCAAAAAAGTGGAAAAAGAAACAAAATTGTAAAACTTGTACCACAAGATGGCAATACTGTTTAAAATATCAAGTTTACTCAACTTAAACAATAGTGCTATGAACATTCATAGCAGAGTACGCACACCACTTGTTTGCAACAGTGTGAGATTGATATTTTCAAGGAAGACAATCACAAGTTAGTGATAGCCACAGGGTTTGCTTTAATTTTCCTTGTAACAAGTACTGTAGAACATGTTCTTGTTCCATATTGTGGCTCAGACTCTAGTGGGACAATGTAACTGGATTTAAACAAAAAACATGTAGAGATAAGAATGAACATATTGCAATCAATTAACATATTGTGCACTCACTTTCTCTTTCATGTCCTCAGTTTCTGGAGAAATTTGAGGCCATTAAATACTGTCTGGCAGCTATTCTTGTTGATGAGCTATCATGTTAATAATTATAGCCACTTTCAGGCAACAGAGAGAGCAGATGCAGGAAGATGCCATGGCATTGCTTCATCAATATAAGATGTGCTGCATGCAAAAGGTGCCATTCAGAGCAAGCAGATAAAATGATCCTGTATACTCAAGGGTAAACATCATATCCCCTTTTGTGAAGCAATACCTGATTGTGTTATTAAATAGTTATTGCTGCTGTCTCTTATAACAAAATAGTTGCAGCACAGTGTTTCTGCAGCAGCAGCTCAAAGAAGGTGGGGAGCTCCCAACACGGGAATGAGAGCTGGGTGGTGTCACAGCCAGGCAAAGGGGCACACGGGCACAAACACACACATGCAAGCTTTCACAGAGCTGAAAGGAATGGTGGAGAACTATAAAGAAATTCTATTCCAGGGACACACATAATGATACAAACCCAGAAAATCTAGTCTTGCCTCTCCACTAGTGGCCAGAGGAGGCCTGGACACGTGCATGCCTCCAGAGTCATGAGGGAAATCACTCTCAGCAGGTCAGCCCTTGCTGCTTTAGTCTCTGTCAGGCAGCACTGCTGGGAGCTGGCAGTTGCAGCTGCAGAGCTGCTGATTTGCCACACTAATGATTTGTCATGGTGTAGTAAGGACTTGTTAGTCTGCCCATTGCCATGACAGGCCAACATTTCTATTTCTGTTTGCAGTGGCAGATGTAAATAACTACATAAATCACTAGCACTAGCCTATTTCAAGGCATGTTCTTCAGCAATGTGAACACAGTGCCCAGTAGCGGTCGATGAAGAGGAATGTTATTATATTTAACTGCAGGGTGTATCTTTTTTCCTTGATGTATACTGTAGCATGTAACTCCCATTAACTTTAAAAGGTTATAGACTCTAGGAACATCAAAGTAGAACATACCCTGAGAAAAAAAAGTCTGTCCTCTGGATGCTCACACACAGCTGCTATTGACGTTAATTTAAGGGTGCAGTTCTTAGCCCTAAGTATACCCCTTTCTACTGAATATGGAACTGAGTTCAATTCTCATGGAAAAGTTTTACAGAATTTCCAGAAAATAACAACTCTTAAGAATATGTTTTAAACCAAACTATTTAGAACCAAAACTTTATTAGATAATGAGATACTTACTGCATTGCACAAAACTTGTTTCAAAATAAGCAACAGCAAGTATCTCACCCTGCTTTATTTGCAGGTCTTACCTGTCTCATATCTTGAACTGCACAGTCTCACTCTTGCAGATAGAATTATTTTAAAGGAGATGATGATCTAGTGCTAGGTGATCCCAACTTTTCCATTCAGTGCTAGCCTGAACATCCAAGCGTTGTGGACACACAGCTGAGGCATGATTTTTAACCTAGATTTTGCTGCATCATTATCATCAATAGCCATCAATATCTAATCCTTATGGAAGCAAAAACTTCACATTGATCTCAGTGTAACCTTTCTGTCATAATTCAAGTTTTTCTAAGAAAAATTAATATTTCTCCACACAAGTATTAAAAATTGAATTTTCTTCTAAACCTCCAGCATTTAGATGTTTCAGTGTCCCATGGGAGAGGCTCTGCCTTTAGAGGTGATTAGACAAAAACCTCTCTTACCCACCTTCCAACTTAAATTTTCAGCTTGTATGGAGTGAAGTAGGGGGGAAGGATATCTGTGCAGCAGGCTGAGAACATACAGTTTTTGTACATTCCCAAGTGTGTGGGGTGCTGGTCCTTAAAAAGAACCTGACGTGATTTACCATAACAAGCCAAACCTGCTACAGGTCAGGATGCCAAAGGGTTCTCTGAAGCAGTGGAGATCTGGAAGATCAGAACAGGAAAGAATTTAGCTGAATGTATAGGATTTTCCTGTGCAAACATGGAAACACAGTGTGGGCCAGACTGTGCATTCATAGATGTATCTTCAAAGCAGTATGAGACACACACACACACACACACACACGCACACACACACACACACACACACACACACAAGAATCCTAATTGATATTGCTAATTATTTTATTCATGCTGCACTGTGACATCACTTACCTCTCCTAAAACCCAGAATCTCTTTGCTGCATATTTTGTAGCATGACAGTGTGGGAGAAAACATAAATAAATAATAAAGTGACCTGTAGGCTAATATACTCCCTGGTTCAGAAGTATTTTCAAGTATATATTTTTAGATGACATGCCATTAAAATAAAAAATTAATAAACAGAAGCAAAAAAATGCATCATATTTCATTTCAAATTAAATACATCTAGGTAACTTGTCACTTTGCCACACCTTATCAGAGGATGACACAAGGAACAGGCTCCAGGACCAAAGGACAACAGCTGTGCTATAAATCACCTTGAATTTGAGCACTGGTCTTCTGTGCCAGAGCACAAGCCCCACATTTTCTGTCCAATATTCTGTCCTTGAAAATGACCAGCATCTATAGAAAGTGTAAGAAAAGGATGTAAGGGATTATGGGATAGCTTCTTTAGATGTGAGGAATTGCTCAATTAAATAAAGTAAAGCACAAAGCACCAAGGTTTCTAGCCTTCACACTTCTTTATTCTATCTTAAATATTACCAGATCATTCCTTCACAATGTTTTCAGGTTAAAGAATCCTTACTACAGCAAAAAATATTTTACTACCATTTTTATTTGCTATTAAAGAGTAATAATGCTGCCACAGAGGCAAGGAACACAGGTTTTATTTTTGTGTTTGAAAGGTGGCAAAATGCACTTGCCAACAGAAGACACTGGCAGAAAATTAGAATAATGCTTTGGCCACAAGACAGATCTAGAGTTACAGAAGGTGACACAGACTAGGTATGGAAGGAGGCATTTAGCAAGCAGCAGCTGCTCCTTGTGAGCTGGAACTGGAAGAGGAATTGGTTACCTTGTGTGCTTTGCCTGCAGGTGCTGTTTGAAGGAAATTCATAGAGGAAAACCCCACCATGCTATCATATCTTTATCTTTACCCCGCAGTGACTTCCTACATAGACCAATACTGTTATGACACTGAAAGTTCGTGGAGACAACCATCAGCAAGAAGCACCTGAACTGCCCACAGTGAGTGGTGCACAGCTGAAATACTGTCTGCTAAAGGATGGCTTCTGGCCATGTTTCTGTGGTCTTATTTACCCCAGTCATTTTAGAAAAATCTGGCTGAATCTCAAATACATCTCTAGATCTCTTTGTACATGTTTTTTACATCTTTTCTATGAGACTGCAAAATCTCTGCAAGGCTTTCTATTCTTTCCCCTGGTAATTGAATTTATTTTTTGTTTTTGGAAAGTGACAGAATTTTTGAAAGTTTTCCTAGCAAAAGAAAGACACTATCTACAAGTCAAATATATTTGCTTTAAAATTGTTGTCATTCAAATATTTGGAATATCTCCCCAGCTTATTTCCATCTATTACAGAGTATTTAAAATCTTGTAACAGTTTTGGGTTTTTCCCTCCACAGAATCAGACTAATATAGAACTGCTAAAAAGAGGAAGAGTAATTGATAATGAGCAGGAAGATATGATAAATTTTTCAGCAACCTCTGGATAGCACATAAAGTTAGGAAACCAGCTATAGGAGAGATAAATTTTCAAAACCCAGAGACTTAAAAATAGTAAACCAGGTGTTCTGCTGAGGCTTTAACATCAGCATGTTAATGATACCAGACATTGTTATATTTCCGTCATATCCATTAAAAAGCCCAAAGACAGTTATATAATTTCAACATTTTTGCATGAAAAGTGATCCAGAAAGCAAATATTCTAATTTTATAGAAGGAAATATACGCTGTATATTTGGCTTCTCAACATGTTATTGCCATACTGACCATAAGAGTAAAAGCAAAATGAGTGAGCAGATTTCCTGGCTCTTTGAACACCCAGTGCTTACGCTGAACAGCCCTAAAAGATATGCCAACTTCAGAAGTTTAATGCACATTTTCAAAATGCATAGTCTAGAGAACAATTCAGACAGAGCTCTCCAGGGGCTACTTTTGTGTTTATAAGTATTCAGCTGAATTTCTAAATCGGAAGAATAGACGCTTACATTTAGCAAAAAGATTGTCAAGAGCATGCACACTTCTGAGCTCCATCTCAGTGATTTAGCTGGAAACTTTATGGAACTAGAGGAACCTGCTAGGATGGTTTTATTACCCAGTTTAATAGAATCAAAATTCCATCCCTTCATATTTACTCTAAGACGAATAGCTTTAAATATACTTGGCATGTTTAAAGCATCTAAGAGGTTTAATATTAGAGTTCTCTTACTTTTCTTCCTTCAAAAGAAACATGTTCTATCCTTCTAGGAGAAAGTTTTAGTTGTAGAAATTCACATTAATCACAGTACTGATTTGTTCCTGTCCTGTGAGAGATGAGCTCTCGAAGTTTTTTCTAGCTTTTGCTAGATGACAATCTTAGAAAATATTCGTCAATAATATTTTTTTAAAAGAAAACTTGTGTGGAAAAAGGCAGTCTATATGATTATAGAGAAGGTTATTTAATTTATTTTTTTTTCTCCTAAGGCTTGGCCTATTGTTTTCTAGGTAGTGGAGAGGATATGGAGTGCTATTGTAGCACTGTTTCCTACAGAAAACTGAATACTTAAAATATTTCATTGATGGAATGGCAGTGCAATATCCCTGCATTTGTTTGTTTTCTCATGCATAGAAAGCATGAGGAAATGCTGCTTACATCATCAAAACAAACTCTTATATAAATTTTATAAGCCAGCAAAGCACAGATGTTGAAGGCATATGTTAGATCACTATTATAGTTTATATGCTTAGGAAGACTTTTTCTGCTCAGATCCTCAAAACTTTCTGTTAGAACTCAAAAGGAGCAGGTGAAGCAAGTTAGGAAGCATAGCTGCATAAGTGTCCTTTCATTCCCCAATAAGGCCTTCCCAACAAAAATGCAATTGAAATGCTTTATAATGTCCATTATTTATAACAGTTTCTTCTAGTTTTCTCTTTATTATACTTTTATTTTAATAGGCAAGGCCAAAGTGCAAATCACTAAAGTTAGTTTATGTTAAAACTCCCTGTGTTAGATAAGGATGGAAGGGTCACTTGTTTTAAATATTCTGCAGCTTTTCACATTAAAAAAAAATAATTCTGTGAATGAGTTTTTTGCTCTCTGCTATTTCATAGGTTAAAGAGACAATTTTATAAAGAACATTTTGCTTTCCCATCTAGAATTGTTCTTCCATTATAGTTCCTATGAATTCAGGCAAACCTAGGATATCCAGTATCAGTTTGGGTGTCAAAACCTATCCACCAAATCTGTGGTTTTGCAACTATTATCCAGCAATCTGCAAACCATTGTTAAAAGCTCATGGTAGCTTGAATTTAGGGACAACAATATTTTATTTTCAGATGTGTAAGTCTTTAAGGCTCTGATGTCTGATTTACACTTTGACACATATTTTAATCACACCAGTAGTCCATGAAAAGTCTCTGAGTCACTTTTTCAGCCAGGGGTCTTTCTGGGACACAGCCAAAACACACTGCAATTCCTCATTGTTACTATGCAACTGCCACCACCAACAGACTTAGGATAAAATCTCATAAAGAATGTTTTTTTCACCCAACATTTCAGGAACCTTAGAGCCTTTATAAAATTTAATCAAGCATTTTATTTCACAAGGTGCCATAAAAAGCAAAGTGCCACAATAACAAAGCCCAAGTGCATTACCACTTCTTCTCATCTTGAGAGTGCTTTAAAAAAAATTCCAAACAGTGATGAGGCTTCAAATATCTGAATAGAAACATCACTTATATAGAAAGATGGGAAAGCCCCAGCAGTCCCTCTGTGCACACAGGCACACACTCACTGCATGAAGCAAGAGACTCTGGAAGACACTGACCCCACTGAATAATGATTGTCCTTCCTGCCTCTCACCGACATAGAATCCAGAATTTGTCTTTCTGCCTGGCAGAGCCTTAACAGGTCAGATGAAAAGGTCTTGAGATGCTGACTAAGCCTGTGAATTAGATGTGAGTCTAGCAAAGTTTAGTCTGGGCTCTAGGAAGTATTTCTTTCCTAAGAGGTTGGTCAGGCACTGGAACAGGATTAATTGCAGTTTTGTAGTTTTAGATAATTCCAGACAAGAAAAATTTAAGGGATACATTCTAATCAATTCTAATCAATGAAAGGCATGTTTTGTCTACCTAGCCATTGTCATTCAGCACAGTGACAAATATATTCATCCTATGTATCATACTTCCTAAAAATCATTCACATATTTTAGTCAATAATACCATATAACTGATACATGTGAACATTGCAATATTTATTCCAGGTGATTTATCATCGAAATAAGTTTGAATCTTATAACTGTTTACTGAGACTTGGTTCTTGACTCTAAAGCAACACAAGGGCACATGAATATTTGCCTGAAATTTTGATGGGCTGAAGTACATCAGTATTGTTTGATTTAAGTATCTCTAAAATCAATTGTGGATAGAATAACCATACTAATCCATCTCTAATTTGCTTCTAATTATGTCTCATGCATCTATCATCATTCAAGTTGCACTTTTAGGCAGTAGAAATACTATGGAATTCACAGGTCCCTTCATGTGCCTATTTCTGCTAAAAAGCTATACTAAATTCTGCTTGAAAATAATTGATAAGAGTTGTACACCAAATCAATATTATAATTTCACAGTGGCCACTCTGAAGTTGTGTTCAAAAACAGGCTACTGTGAGGTTATGTTCGAAAATGCTCTGTTTATATATATTTATGCATAGAACATTTGAAGCAGAGAAACTGTGGAAGTACTGGTTCCTTTCGAGACAAGATAAAAATCAATATTTCATTAAGTTTTTGACTCTATATATATATCTATTTATGTTTTCATAGGAAAACAACCCTCTTAAAACAAACAAGGAAGAAAGAGCCATTGGGGCATATTATTAAATTAAATAATCAACACTTAATCTAGTATTTCTGATTTTCCAGCTGTGAAGCACTCCAAACTGAAAAAGACATGTAGTCTTCAAAAGGAAGGAAGGAAGGAAGGAAGGAAGGAAGGAAGGAATCAAATTAATAGATAAATACAGCTAAAAATGAATTTCCTATGTTAAGAAGTTGAATATTTTAAACCAGCTTGAAAAGGCTGATCAAAAATATCTACAATGGAGAAATACTTTCTTTTTAAATACAGCCCACTTGAAAGAGACAGTGAGGACTGAGAGTCAAAGGGTAAGAAGCTTCAGATTTATTAAATTTAATGTTTTGCTCCTGAATTTCTTTATTAGAAGCAAAAATGAAATGCAACAGGGACCATATTTATTCATGGGATAAAACCAAAATTTGAGAATGTTTCAGGTACAAGTACACATCTGAATTTTAGTTATAATATGTAAGAGGAGACTGACAAGGAATTTTGCCTTGCGGAGTATTGAATTTGCATGGATTATATTTCAAAATATATGAATAAAAAATTCTTATGTTGGTTAAACTGTATTTAACCTGCTTTTCTCAATTCTTCCTTCTCAAGGTCATTTAAACTCACTCATATACATACATGCACATTTTGTTGCTTAAAGCTAATTTACTTTTGTTGATTATTCAGCAGTGGAAGTCATACACTTCTCCCAGTAGCATCATTACAATGAATTAATAGCACTGTTCACTGTTATTTTTATTGGAAAAAATGACTTTCAACTATTATGCATCAGCAGGAGCAATCATACAATATCTTAGGTTATCTTATTCATGCTACATCTTAAAAATAACTTGAGTGCCAACCTTAATTGGCTGAATATTGTAGGATATGTTAAGAGAACACAATGAAACACTTATAATTTTGTTAGACATTTCCCAATATGGGTTTAATTAAACTCCCTTTTTGTTGTTAATTCTGATCAAGTTTTATGAATCAATCCTGAAGAAAACTAAAGAGGAGACATTTTGTGTCCTGGAGGCCCAATTCTGCATTTATTATTTGTGACACTTCTATGGTATTCTACCAGAAATTTTAGTGTGCAAGGACAGAGGAATTACACCTCAGCAAAGAAAATATAAAGATAAATCAATTTACCTCTCTTGGGGACCAAATAATAAAAACTGAGAATATATTGATTACTGGAGCA